AAAAAAAAAATGTCAATCTTCCAAAGTGGATCTATAAATTCAATGCAAGCCCAGTCAAAATTCTAGCAGGGTTATTTGTAGAAATTGACAAGCTGATTGTAAAATTCATATGGAAGTGCAAAAGCCCGCCCCTTTCATTATCTCTATTTTTAGCTCACACATAGAATTCCTTTATAATTATTTCCCATTTTTTCCACATTGCCAACTTGTCACGTGTAAAAGGGGACAATGGGAAATGTAAAACGCAGACTGAGCTCTACAAACATCGATTTAGACTCCCCCTGCTAATCCAAAAGGAAAACCGCAGGCTGGAGGGAAGCTGAGCCCTACAAAGGATTCTGGTACGTGTAGTCCACACACTTCTGGAGGGTGGAGCACTTCCGCTTCGGGAAAGCGCGGCCTTGTTGCTTACTCCACCGGGGAAGCAGGGGATTATAACCCCGTGCCCTGAGTGTTAAGTGGCATTTCGGCTCCCTGAGGGCGAGAATGCGAAGCCTGCTCTGCTCGGGTATTCCGGGAACACGATTCAGGCCGTGGGTGTGGGGGCCGGCACTTCCGCCCTTGGGGGCGGGGCCGCGGCTTTCTTTCCTCCCGGGGATCCTGGGAAGTGTAGTTCCGCAGGTGAGCTTAGTGCGAGGCACTTCCGCCACTGGAGGTGGAGAGCGCGGCCTTCGTTCCTTTCAGGAAGGTGGGTGAGCCTCGGGACCCCACGACCTCTTTCAGCCTTTATGGCCTGGTCGTAGGATCAGCGGGGCCCGCACCTCGGTCGCCGAGAAGAGAAACCGCGGCCAGCTGCGGAGGGCAGGGTTGAGGGGCGGGGGCGGCCGCTTGCCTTCCCTTCGCCAGAGCCTCTGCCTCTGCCTTTGGGGCGGTTCGCTAGTCCCCCGGGTAGGAGGTAGACCTGGATCGGGCAGCGTCTGAGGCTCTCCGCTGCCCAGCCCGCCTTAGCCCACCTTCCACACGCCCTGTCGCTTCCTAGCGATATAACGTTGATGAGAACTTAATCTTTCTGTGCCCTAGTTTCCTCTTCTGTAAAAAGGAATCCTACGAGTGCCTACCTTATACATTTCTTTTCAAAATTAGTGATCTAGGACAAACAAAAGTTTAGAATAGTGTAGGCGTGGTGGCAAGGTGTTGGCTGTTAATATTAATACTATTAAAATAACCAGAAAAATATTCCTTTCTCTGGAAGAACCTCGAAGTACCAATGGTTCCTCTTCTGATCCCTGCAGGAAGGGAGGCTGTTCCTGGACTACTTCTGACCTGTTTTTTAAGAAAGAGCGCGTCATCCACAGATGGAGTTTTCGGGATATCCTCTGCGGATTTTTCAGAACCACGGACAAGATCGTGGTATCTCCCAGCCTCCTTTCCTTCCCCTCGCCTGACTTCTGATAGAAGGCTGTAGGGAGGAGGGAGTGGCTCTCCTGGCAGCAGAGCCCCACTGTGACAGGACTTAGCATTCATCTTGTCTTTCTGTTCCGAGTGGGAAAAGGTATTTAACTCATTAGCAAATGTTTCTGCTACAAAGGTGTTCAGTTATTGTTGAATAATTGGGAAAATATGTGACATGAGTAATGGTCATAATAATTAAACACTGAGTGCTAAGTGTCATTCTAAGAGCTTTATAAAAATTAACAGTTTTAACCTTCACAAAGGTCCTATGATGTGTGTACTGTTATTACCCCTGTTTTACAGATGAGGAAATGGAGACAGAGAGAGCCTACGTTACTTATCCTTTGTCACAGTGCTATTAAGAACAGTGGTATTTGTGTCTAGAGCTTGTGTTCCTTATATCTCTGGATATCCTTGGTCCCACAGTTTACAATCCCAAAATTGGAATTAGGAAATAAAATAGAGAAACAATCCATTATAAATATTTAACCATAGGAAACTGGCTGCAGAGGAGTCATTTGGAATCAAGTTGGGAGGGAGGTTGGAATTTTATTTTAGAGGATTTTGAAAGCGAGGTTAATGAGTTTGGACTTCTCTACAAAATTTTGAAAGCATTCTCATTTAACTTTATTTTAAACAGTATTATAGTTTGTATTCTGATCATAGAAATGTGTGCTCATTGTAGAGAATTCAGAAAATACAGAAATACATAAAGAAAAACATTAAGCACTACCCATTATACCAGGATATAGTTATTAACATTTTAATGCATTTCTATTTAGCAGTTTTTTAACGTGTATTTGTCTATGTTTTATGATATTGTTATAACACTATTAATAGTGGGTTTTTACCTCCTTAGTTCTTTACTATGGAAATTTTCAAACATACTCAAAGTGTAATAAAATGAACTCCTATGTAACAGTAACCCTGCTTCAATCCTTGCTAATCTTATTGCTTCTTCCCCTCTCCATGCAAACATTTTTTTTCCCTTGAGTATTTTAAAGCAAACCCAGATGTTGAGGTAGTAGGACTTATAAATTAATTATCATAAATGGTTTATATATGAAGACCAAGAGAGGGAAGATTGTATTCATTTGCCAGGGCTGCCATAACGAAATACCACAGACTGGATGGCTTAAACAGACATTTATTTTCTCACAGTTCTGGAGACTAGAAGTCCAAGATCAAAGTGTCAGCAGGTTTGGTTTCCTCTGAAGTCTCTCTCTGTGTGCAAACTCCCCTGCTGTCCTTCTGTGTTAACTTAATCATCTCTTTAAAGGCACTGTCTTAAAATACAGTCACATTCTGAGATACTGAGGGTTAGGATTTCAACATATGAATTTTGAGGGAATGCAATTCAGCCTATAACTGATGTTAACAGCAACTCTAAGGTTTTCACTCTTGGCACCTATCAGAATGGTACTTATGTGAGAGGGCTAGAAAGAGGTCCAGTTAGGAAAAGGAAGATGAATTTTTGTTGCTCCTTTGGAGTTGCACTTACCATTGGCACATAACTCTCGGTTTCTTATCTCTCTCCCATTAAGCTGCAGGGACATCTGTTTCATGGACATCATCATATTCTTCTCAGCGTGTCCAGCGAGAAGTTGGCACAAAGGAGTTGCTCAAAGAGTAAGTGTGATTCATGTAGCTGTCTAACAGGCAGCTGGAAGTTCAGTGCTACAGCTTGGGATTAGAGAACAAAATAGAAAGATTATCCAAATTCTTGTCCTTTATCTCACTGGGCTGTAGAATCCATCAAAATGTTCAAAGTATTCCAAAGTTGATGTGCAATTACAGATAATATTGTCATGATCTAAAACAAATTCCTTTAGGGGCCGGCCCAGTGGCGCACTGCTACAGTGCGCTGCTTGGGAGCGCATTCCTTTAGGGGCCGGCCCAGTGGCGCACTGCTACAGTGCGCTGCTTGGGAGCGCATTCCTTTAGGGGCCGGCCCAGTGGCGCACTGCTACAGTGCGCTGCTTGGGAGCGCATTCCTTTAGGGGCCGGCCCAGTGGCGCACTGCTACAGTGCGCTGCTTGGGAGCGCAGCGGCGCTCCCACCGAGGGTTCGGATCCCCACATACAGACTGGTTCCCGCTCACTGGCTGAGCGAGGTGCGGGCGCAACACCGAGGGTTGCGATCCCGTAGCCAGTCCCGGTCCGGTACGGGCGCGACACTGAGGGTTGCGATCTGTTGCCGGACACGAGAAAAGACAAAAAAAAGGAAAAAAAAAAAAAAAAACCAAATTCCTTTAGAGACAAATCAACATCAATGTTCAATATTTTGCTTATTGCATGGAGATGATAATAGGGATAATGAAAACAGCTATTTGTTGGGTGCTTCTTCTGACTAAGAGAATTTCCAATACTTTACATGTGCTAACTCATTTATTTTTCATGATAAACCTATTCTTGAAGGTGAAAACACAGGCACAGAGAAGTTAAATAAATGACCTGGTGGCACAATGAGCAAGGGGCAGAGCCAAGATCAAGCCTCAGTGGCAAGGTTGGAAACCTAGCTCAAGCACTCAGTGACTGGATAACCTTGCACAAATTACTTAACATCTCCGTGCCTCGATTTTCTTATCTGTCAAGTAGGGATAATATCAATACCTACCTCCTAAAGTTTCTGTGAAGATTAAAAGGGAAAGGTTATGTCAAGTGCTTGAAATAGTGTCTGGCACATAGTAAGTTCTCTATGTATTTCAGACTAAAATTGTCTCTTATCTACTACAGATAAGTATGCAACATGAAAAATGCACAAGTTATTGAAGGGGCAAAGGTATATTTTAAGTATTCTTTTTTCCCCACCTTACACTTGAACAAAAATGAATACTTTCTATAACCATTGTATAAACCTATAACTAGCAGTAATTTGCTGTCTTTTGAACTTAGAGGGTCCCTGAGGGATGATTATATGGTCACTGTCACTTGAATAAAAAGGTCTAAACCTGTGCTATCCAATATTGTAGCCATTAGCCACATGCGACTATTGAGCACCTGAAATGTGGCTAATCTGAACTGAGATATATAAGTGTAAGACACAGTGGATTTCAAAGACTTAGTATGAAAAAAAAAAGAGTGTAGAATATCTCAATAATTTTTATATTATTACAAGTTCAAGTGATAATATTTTGGATATATTGGGTTAAAGAAAATATATTGTTAAAATTAAGCTCACTGCTTCCTTTTATCTTTTTAAATGTGGCTACAAGAAAATGTTAAGTTACACATACAGCTTGCATTTTATTTCTATTGAATAGCAGTGGTCTAAAGGGAAGCTAGCCTCCCTCTTCACTCGAGAATTTGCTTCCAAGGGCATTTACCAGTCATTCTGCTGCTCTTTCCTCTTAGAGAGAGCTCCAAGGGCATCTTGTAATGGAGAGAAGTGGGACGCTGGAAATCAGGAGCCCTGAGTGCCTATACCTGCTCCTGGCTTTCTCAGTGCCTAGTTCCATCAATTCCTTGAGAGGCAGTATAGAAAAATACAGTGGTTCTTGAATTGTGCTCACATCAGAATCACCTGGGGAACTTGGTAAAAACATATAGACACCAGGCCTTAAAATCCTTCAGTGAGCTTGAGCTTCTGTGTGCTTTATTATAGTTTTACAGGTAATTCAGATATTATTACAATCACCTATTCACCACACTGGTGAGGAAGGAATCCCTGCCTGATATGTCTGAATGTCCCCTAAAATTCATGTGTTGAAACTTAATCCCCATTGTGGTGGTATTAGGAAATTGGGCCTTTTGGGAAGTGATTAAGTCATGAGGGAGCTCTAATAAAAGAGGCTTCAGGGAGAGTTTGCCTCTCTTACTCTTTTGCTCTTTTGCCATGTGACAACATAGCAAGAAAACCCTCATCAGACACATGATCTGCTAGAGCCTTGATCTTAGACTTCCCAGCCTTCAGAACTGTGAGAAATAAATTTCTATTTTCTATAAATTACTCAGTGTGGTATTTTGTTATAGCAGCGCAAGCAGATTATGAAAACTTATTCTGTAATAGCCCCTCCTTCCATCTCTTCTTATCCCTTTACCCTGCCTTACTGTTCTTTAAAGCATCTTTCAGTGTATATTGTTGGTTTGTTATGCCTTTGTACACGTTATAACCCCAGCTCCATGAGATCAAGGTCTCTACTTTGTTTATTGCTGTATCTTTCATGTCTAGTACCTCGGCTGGCACAGAGTCAGCTTTCAATAATTATATGTTGAATGAACAATTCAGGAGATAAATAATGAGGACCTGATCTACATGATGTATCTATCACATATTCATTAAGTCACTAACACAGATTTTCCAAGTGCTTGCAGCAGCATAGTAGGTGTTGGGGATGCAGCAGGAAACAAAACTCCCTGTAGGACAGATGTAATGAATATAAATAAGTAAAAAACTTGGTAAGATGTTAGAGAATGATAAATGCTAAGAGAAAAGAATTAAGCAAGGATGGGGGATAGGAAGTGTTGGGGTATGATTAGGAGATTGAAATTATCTATAGGTTGGCCAGGGAGGAACTGTTTGAGGTAATGACTTGAATAAAGAAGGAAGTGGTTCTTGGCATGGCCCTTCTAAGTCTCTCTGGCCCCAACCTATTCCCTCTCAGACCTCCTCTTATCTGCTGGGAGAGTAATCTGTTTCCAACACAAAAAGAATCTTCTTACTTTCCTTTCTTTGAGTCAAGTCCTTCAGTGCTGTCCTTAATCTTGCCTGAGGACAGCAAATATTGTGAAAGACCTAGAGGAAAAGCTTGACTGTTTCCAACACAAAAAGAATCTTCTTACTTTCCTTTCTTTGAGTCAAGTCCTTCAGTGCTTTCCTTAATCTTGCCTGAGGACAGCAAATATTGTGAAAGACCTAGAGGAAAAGCTTGCAAATAAGACCCTCCTCTCCAAATCCTCCCAATTGGGGTCAGCCTCAGAATTTTACAACTCAAAGAGACCTTAGACCAACTAGACTAGTCTTTCCATGTGCCTTTGCCTGTCTCTCTGGTGGTGGGTTTATTCATTCTTTAAATCAGTTCTGCTGAGCAGTTGTTACAGGTACTGTTTTAGGTGTTTAGGATATAAAACTAAATAAGCGTTAATCACAAGACAGATGGTTGATTTACTAATTATCCCTTTTCCCCCAGAGATGATGGAATGATCCCCCTGCCAATATAGTAGGGTTCAATAGTAGGGTTCTTGTATCTGCAGTAGGAGGACTTAATAATAATTGACTCATCAATAATAAATTAAACAATAACTAATACTAATCACTTAATTTGGGTATTTTACTTTCAATTTCCACCGTCTTTAGAATCAGAATCATACCTTGAGAGTTACAAGGAGAACCTGTTTTAGGGCCACTGTGTGTGGTTGGGTGGGTTGTTCACTGTGCAGGGGCTTTTGGTTGAAGGGTCAAATGGTATCTGGAATCCAGTCCACGCTCTGCTTATCAAGCTGTGTGCAGCCATATAGCTACCTCAGGTGTGTTAGTTTAGGCTGCAGTAACAAAAACACCAGTTAGACTGGGCAGTTTAAACAAAAAACATTTATTTCTCATAGTTCTGGAGGCTTGGAAGTCTAAGATTTAAGGCATCAGTAAATTTGGTGTTTGGTGAAGCTGCTCTTCCTGATTTGCAGAAGCTGTCTTCTTGTATCCTTGTATGGGAGAGCCAGGGAGAGTAAGAGAGAGAGCTGGCTCGCTTCCTTTTCTGGTAAGGACACTAATCCCATCATGGGGGCTCCATCCTCATGACTTCATTACCTCCCAAAGGCCCCATCTCCCAAGACCATCACTTTAGGGATTCAACCTATGAATTTTGAGGAGACACAAACATTCAGTCCATACATTGAGGAAGGGGCTCCTTGACTATTTAATGTAAAGCAGCCATATAGATATATAGGTAACTTGTATTGAATGTTTAAACTGCCAGACACTGTTCCAAATGTTTTATGTATATTGTTACATAGGCAATTATGAAGTTGGTGTTATTATTATTATCCCCAATTTATAGATTAGATATTGAGGCACAAAGTACTAGCAAGTTGGAGATGCCAGTGTTCAAATACTGGTGGGCTGCTTCCAGAGCATACACTCCTCACAACTCCGTTCTCTTCTCCCTCAAGCATGTCCTTCGGTTTCAGAGTCGGCTCCCTGTTTCCATGTCTTTTATCCTAGCTCTCAAGCTCTCATTTCTCTTTTCGTGAGACCTTACACTCCCATCTGCTTGTTTTTGTCTTTAGAAGCAAGAGAGACGAGATTTAGAATACTGGCTCTAGTGTGAGAGCTGGATTCACTTACCACTCTTGCCTCTTGACCTCACCAAGTCTCAGCTTCCTCACCTGTTAAATGGATACAACAGTTGAATCATCATTTATTGAGAACTTCCTAAAATGCCAGGTACTATGCCAGGGGCACTGCATAAATTCACTCATTTATTCCCACGATAATCCTATGATTAACATTCTGTTTTTATCTTTTTCTTATAGCTGAGGATAGCACAGAAGTTTAGGTGATTGGACCAAGGTCATACGACTAATACAACAGTAGCTTCTTCATAGGTAAGTTTGAGGTACCTTAATGAAGCTGCTTGCCAAATGCTTTCCAGGTCCCCTAACATGTGCTTAATGTTCATTTAATGTTAAACACTACCATTTTCTGTTGTTTTTATCACTACTATGATTATTATAGCTTGTTAATTTCAATGACATATCGATTATTAAAATTATGGTTAAATAAATCTTGTGTAGTCACAGGTTTTTATTAATTTTTCTTTATCTCTATGATAGAGTCTTTTTAAAGGCCTAATGTTAAAGTAAATTTTGCAAGGTGTTATATCTTTTAAAAATCAATCATCTGTATAGTCAAATTCATAGAGACAAAGTAGAGTAATGGTAATCAGGGGCTGGGTGAGGCAGTATGGGGAGTTACTGTTTAATGGGTACAGAGCTTCAGTTTGGGATGATGAGAAAGTTCTGGAGATGGATAGTGGTGATGATTATGCAGCAATGTGAATGTACTTAACTGAACTATACACTTAGAAATGGTTGAGATGGTAAATTTTATGTTTCATCTTTACCAAAAAAAAAGTCATCGTGTAATCTTAAATATTATTGCTAAGGCATTAAATTAAGTATGACAAACCAAGAGAGAATAACAGATGTTTCAGAGTTTCAAAGTTGAAAGGTGATTTTCATGTGACAGAGCAACAGCCTCTAAAGTCTCCGTTGATAGAAACCATTATGAGGATGGGCTTTATGTTACTGAATATTACCTGCTCTTCTGCAGCTAAGAAATAATGTACCCTGAAAGTATTCTTTGAGTTTTCCATTTACTCATTTAATTCTTACAATAATTCTATGAGATTTTTATAGAAAAAATTTTTATAAAATTTATAAAATCTTTTTATAAAAGAATTATTTTTATAAAAGAATTGAGGCACAGAAATATTAATAATTTGTCCAAGATTTTGTAGCTAATAAGTAGCAGTGTTTTGAACCTAGGCATTTAGGCCCACAGAGGCTATTTGGTTAAGCTGGGTACTTTATTCTCAATTTCCACCCTCTCTAGAATCAGAATCATACCCTGAGGGCCACAGGAGAACTTGTGTTAGGGCCACTACGTATGGTTGGGCGGGTCACTCACTGCCAGGGGCTCTCAGTTGAAAGAATGAGCAGTGTCTGGAATCCAGCCTACACTCTGCTCATCAAGCCACCCTGAGGAAGGGGTACCATTGGTATTTCACCTAAAGCAGCCGTATAGGTTAGCAACATCTCATAACTTTTTTCTCCTTCCCACATATGGCTTCCTAAGACTCAGCCCTTCCCCAGAAGGAGGAGGACGAAATGACCAAGTTCAAGGTTAGTTGAGCTTGCTTTTCTGGGTTTTATTGTCATCTTATTTCTCAAAGATTACACACATCTTGTTTCTTTTTCTTGGGAAGGCTTAAGGAGACCAATAGGCATTTGAGAACCCCTCATGTGCTAGATGCTTGCTACTTTTTATTTTAATGTAGTTTAATTTTTGTTGTTTTATTTTATCATTTCTTATAATTTCACAAATGAGAGTAGAAAGTCAATAACAATGAAAAAAATCTGCCATTTTTCTATTTTCCTTACAAAATTGATTTTATTTTTCCATGTTCTTTCCCTCGTGTATTCATAACTATATATTTGTAATCATTATATAGATAAAATTCTCAAATTATATCTTTTCTGATTAATATTATATGCCCTACATTTTTAATGGCTGCATCATATCCCCTTGAATTCATGAATTCTGAGGGGTTGTGTGTGTGTGTGTGTGTGTGTGTGTGTGTGTGTGTGTGTGTGTGTGTAGCAATTTTTTCCCATTCCTGAACATTTAGGTATTTTAGAATTTTTACTCTTTGAAGGAACACTGTACTAACAGTTTTCCTATATATAACCATTTTCCCCAAAAAAGAATTTGAAATTTTGTCATTGTTTGTTCCCGATGTTTTAGGAACACTAAATTGAAAAGATATGTGATACCCTGGGTATTTCAAACATAAAACAAATTTTTACATAGATATTTCAGCATTTATTATGAAATGAAAAAATCTAAAATGTAATGTGCATTATTGGAATTGCTTAACTGTATTATAGTAAAGTTGACTCTGATCTCAGAATCGGGAACCACTTCCTACACATTCTTTCCACTTTTCTCAATGCTGCCCTTCTAGTGGAGGTTGGTTATAAGTTTGAGGTTTTGTGTGTTTAATGTTGTAGGAGGCAGTGACATTCAGGGATGTGGCTGTGATCTTCACTGAGGAGGAGCTGGGGCTACTGGACTCTGCCCAGAGGAAGCTGTACCAAGATGTAATGCTGGAGAACTTCAGGAATGTGGTCTCAGTGGGTGAGGACAGGCACTCTCTAGCTGAACATTAGCTCCCTGTGTTGTCTTTCTGTCCTTGGATATACAGGGCTTTGGAGCTCTTAAACTGGTTTCCAGTTTTCTAATCATCACGAGACACAGATAGGGAATTTTTTCAGTCTTTCTCCTTGGCTAAAGTTTGTATTTTGTTAATGAACTGCAAGTTGACAGCATGACTGATATATACTTTTGTCCTTTCTTAAACTGTGGTTATTTCTAATTAGTGGGTCATGATGCACGTTTAGTGAATTGTACCAGCATTTTTTAATGACAAAAAATAGGGTAGAAAATATCAGAGCCCTTGGCAATAACTGCACATTGCAGCAACAACTATAGCCTATTGCCAAGAAGAGTTTGAGAGACAGTGGAGAGGGTGTGATGCAAACAGACTTTTTTTTCCAGTAATTTATACTTACCTCTGCAAATCTTGGGTCTCATGCATATCTTGGTAAATGCATAAAATGTATTTCCTCCAATGGTTCCTGATTAAAATTTGGAAAACACTAATTTTGATAACCAAAATGAAGAAATTAAAATTTGGAAGACACTAATTTTGATGACCAAAATTAATTAAGATGATACAGTGAGAATGACACTTTTTAGTAATTTTGCCGTCTAATGTTTTAATTTTAAATATTTATCCTTATCTTTTCACAGGGCATCAGTCCTTCACACCAGATGTTATATCTCAGTTAGAGAGAGAAGAAAAGCCTTGGATGATGAAGATGACAAACCAGAGCAATAACTTCTCAGGTGAGAGTCATGTGACTCTGAGTCTATCCTGCTTCTCGTCACCTCCACAGCTTTGGCACTGGTAGAAGCCTATGCCTTGTCTGTGGATTCCTGCAGCAGTCTTTTTGCTCCTCTTACTCTTCAATCTTGCTCTTTTATAATCTGTTCTCCACTTGAATTGATTCTTTTGAATGTTAGATCATGTCATTCCTCTGCTCAAAAGCTCCAAAAGGATATTTGATTCAGAGAAAAATTCAGGTAAAGTGGCTTATAATGTTCCATGTGTCTGCTCCTCCCTCTTCCGCCATCCCTCTGTAAATACAACATGTAATTTCCCCCTGTGTCAGTCAGTTCCATCCACACTGGCCTCTTTACTAGGCCAAGGATGCTCCTGCCTCTTCATATGCTACTTGAGCTTCTTTCTGTCAGCAGTGGTCTTTCACTCTGCCATCCTCTTGGTCCCTCCCTTACTTCATTTAGGTCTCTTCTCAGATGTAACAACATAAGAAAGGCCTCTCATGATGACTCTGTTACTTATACCTTCTTATTCCTTCATTCCTCTTTCCCTTACCCTGTTTTGTTTTACATCTAAGCACTGATCACCACTTAACCATATTAACATATATTTTTGTTTACTTGTCTTACTACATTCCCCCTGAAATGTAATCTCAGGAGAGGAGAAATTTTGTCTGTTTTGTTTATTGCTATATCCTCAGTATATAGAACAGACCTGGCAGAGAGCAAATTTGCGGTAAATATTTGTTGAGTGAGTGAATGAGTTAATAATGGTTACAGGGACATTTTTCCATTAGTCATGGAGATCTTAACGGTTGGTAAACAAAAATGTGTGATGAAGGCATAGTCAAGCACTATTTTTCCTTGATGATTGTTCAATCTAATACTAATTTATTTGTTGCTTTTGGGTATGTGTAAGTATAAATTCATTAACCCATTGTGTTAGTTTGTCTGGGCTGCTATAACAAAATACCTAAGATTAGATGGGTTCTAAATAGCAGAAATTTATTTCTGACAGTTCTGGAGGCTGGGAAGTCCAAGTTAAAGGTAACAGCAGATTTGGTGTCTGGTGAAGGCCTGCTTTCTGGTTCACAGATGGCACCTTCTTTCTGTGTTATGTCCTCACATGGTGGAAGGGATAAGGGGCTTTAGGCTTTTTTTTATAAGGTCACTAATTCCATTCACAAGGGCTGCCCTCATGACCTAATCACTGCCCTAATACCATCACCTTGGGAGTTGGAATTCCAACATATGAATTTTGGAGGTGTACATACATTTAGACCATAGCATGCACATCTAATGAAAGCTCAGCTTTGTAATTTTAACCAAATTGAATATCATTTCCCCCTTGTGGCTTTTCTGTACTCTTTAGTAGTGAATCATACTCATTTGATGAAGACTACTTTTTAAAATAAAGATTCTCATAACCACTTTTTAGGCAAGTCCCCTATACAAGAAAATGTCTATATGTAAGGAAAGAAAACTTTTCAGAAAATAACTAACTTTCACGTTAGTCTTTCCTTTCAAAGATTTTCCTTGTAGCAGCTATCCACCTCTTTCAAAGAATATTATCTATTATTTTAGTCATCCCTATTCCAGAATATGGTATGTATGGCCATGCCTTTATTTTCTACAAAATTAGCCATTAAATAAATAAATATCATAGAAGATAGATAGCTATTAAATAAACACATGTTAAAAAAGGAAGTCTTAAACAGTTTTCTCTTAATTCTAATAAAGGCCTAATGTCATTTTCAACTGGAAATGTTACAACCTGGGTGGAATCAAGAAATGGCCCTCCTCAAATTGATGCATCCTCAGGAAGACAAAAAAAAAAAAAAAATCACACTTTAAAATGATAACTTGCAAAATATATACAAAAACAATAAACTATGTAGGCATGAACTTAAGGGAAACACATTTATATATTATTTTTTTCAATTTTCTTTTCTTTTTTTTTTTTTTGTTCCCCTTTTGTCTTTTTTCGTGTCCGGCAATGGACCGCAACCCTCAGTGTCGCGCCCGTACCGGACCGGGACCGGCTACGGGATCGCAACCCTCGGTGCTGCGCCCGCACCTCACTCAGCCAGTGAGCGGGAACCGGTCTGTATGTGGGATCCGAACCCTCGGCGGGAGCGCCGCCACGCTCCCAAGCGGCGCACTGTAGCAGTGTGCCACCGGGCCTGCCCATTTTTTTCAATTTTCCATCATTACAATATAAATTTCCATTTGAACAATTTAATTGTTTGATTAAGGAATTGATACCTTCCTTAATCATTTGACAGTGGCTTAAAAACAAAGCAGGTAAATGGAAATTGCCAGGGGTATGGGGTGGATGTGGAGAATTTATAATTTGATATTGGATGGTAAAAGAGGCCTCACTTCGGGGCCGGCCAGGTGGCGCACTGCTACAGTGCGCCGCTTGGGAGCGCAGCGGCGCTCCCGCCGAGGGTTCGGATCCCACATACAGACCGACCGCTCACTGGCTGAGTGAGGTGCGGGCGCAACACCGAGGGTTGCGATCCCGTTGCCGGTCCCGGTCCGGTACGGGCACGACACTGAGGGTTGCGATCCGTTGCTGGTCACGAAAAAAAAAGACAGAAAAGGAAAAAAAAAAAAAGAGGCCTCACTGATAAGATGATAATTGAAGAGTGACTTAAAGAAGAGAAGAGCAAGCCATATGGCTAATTGGTAGAACAGAGTTTCAAGGAAAACATAACTTTTCTTGTCCAGTGTTGACTTTGAGAATCTGTATTATTGCCATATCTGTTTTCTCCTCACAAGTTCTTGCTCTGTTGTAAAAAATTAGCTTCTAAGTCTTCACATTTTTCCCCCTGGTTATAGAAACTTTATCTGATATCAAGTTTTCGGTTATATAATGTATGTTATTACTGTAGCCTCTTCCCACTGTCTACATTCTGAACTTTAGGCACACAGGTGGCGTTTTAGTCCCTTTTATGTTGCTATAACAGAAGTACCTGAAACTGGGTAATGTATAAAGAACAGAGATTTATTTGGCTTACGATTCTGGGACAGCTGCGTCTGGCACAGGCCTCAGGCTGCTTCTACTCATGGTGGAAAGCAGCAGGCAGCCAACAGGTACAAGCAGATCACATGGCAAGAGAGGAAGCAAGGGAGAGAGGGAGAGGTGGTGCCAGGGTCCTATGAACAACCATAGAGCGAGATCTCACTCATTACTCCCTCCTCCTCCAGGGAGAGCATTAATCCATTCATGAGGGATACTCCCCCATGATTCAATCAGTTTCCAACACTTCCACATTGGGGATCAAATTTCCACATGAGTTTTGGAGGGGACAACACATCCAAACTCCATCAGGTGGTAAGGTATTTTCTTCCAAACATGTCTTTCCAACCTGTTTAGTGCCTCAGAGGCTCCTAACGTTGATGTAAACTTCCAATGAGATAATCCAAGGCAAAGGTTTTTGACATTGCTGTGTCAAAATCTTCTGGTAATCTATCTGTAGGGGTTTTACGAGACACTTTGAGCAGTGCTGCATTGTTCAGATGTCCATGCAATAGGCAGAATTATGTGGAAGCCGTATTAAACACCTACTGAGCAAAAAAAGACAAAGCTTTTAGAAAGGTGCAACTTCTTGGTAAAGTTTTTTCTTTTTGCTCTGCAGCCACCAGATTTCTTACTTGTAGCTCACTTATGAAATTTAATGTGATTCTAATGGGATCTTACTAATGTACATGGGGAGTGAATGGGAGCCTGTTGGATTGCCTCTTCGCTTCTGGGGGTATGTAAATCAGATAACTTGATACATGATGATAAAGAAAAACAGAACCTTCTCCTGTTCAATAAAGCACTGGGCTGTGGGTGTAAGTTTATAACCTTGACATCTTTGAACCAAGTGTTTACATGCTCCATCTCCGAATTCTCTTTATCCTTTTAGGAGGCAAGAATCTAAACGAGAAGACTCTGCAAGAAGTAGGATTAAGATACCTGCCACAAGAAGAGCTTTTCTGCTCACAAATCTGGCAGCATATTACAAGGGAGTTAGCCAGGTGTCAAGATTCCATGATAAATATTCAAGGAACTGGCTCTCAGTTGGGAAAACAAGGTGACGTACTCTATAAAGATGAGGAGTTCAGTAACCCGAGTTCACATCTTCAAGTCCACCACAGAGTCCACACTGGTGAAAAACTGTACAAAGGGGAGGGGTGTGAGAAAAGTTTTATTAGGGACTCTCATCTTCAAATTAACCAGAGGGCCCATGCAGGAGAGAAGCTCTACAAATGTGAAAAATGTGATAATGCCTTTCGTCGGTTTTCAAGTCTTCAAGCCCATCAGAGAGTCCACAGTAGAGAGAAATACAAACATGATGCATTGTGTAAGGGTTTCAGTCAGAGATCACGTCTTCACTATCATCAGAGAGTTCCCACTGGAGATAATTCATACAAATATGAGGAGCGTGGGAGGAGCGTCAGGAAAAGCTCACATTGTCAAGCTCCTCCAATAGTCCATAGAGGAGAAAAACCCTACAAATGTGAGGAGTGTGGGGTGGGCTTCAGTCAGAGCTCGTATCTTCAAGTCCATCAAAGAGTCCATGCTGGAACGAAACCTTATAAATGTGAAGAGTGTGGAAAGGGCTTTAGTTGGCGTTCACGACTGCAGGCTCATCAGCGAATCCACACTGGAGAGAAACCATACAAATGCAATGCATGTGGCAAGGGCTTTAGTTACAGCTCACACCTTAACATTCATTGTAGAATCCACACGGGAGAGAAACCTTATAAATGTGAAGAGTGTGGGAAAGGCTTTAGTGTGGGTTCACACCTTCAAGCCCATCAGATAAGCCATACTGGGGAAAAACCATACAAATGTGAGGAGTGTGGGAAGGGCTTCTGTCGGGCCTCGAATCTTCTGGACCATCAGAGAGGCCATACTGGAGAGAAACCATATCAATGTGATGCATGTGGTAAGGGCTTCAGTCGTAGCTCAGATTTTAACATTCATTTTAGAGTTCATACAGGTGAAAAACCCTATAAATGTGAGGAGTGTGGTAAGGGCTTCAGTCAGGCCTCAAACCTTCTGGCCCATCAAAGAGGCCACACTGGAGAGAAACCATACAAATGTGGTACATGTGGGAAGGGCTTTAGTCGGAGTTCAGATCTTAATGTTCATTGTAGAATTCACACAGGAGAGAAACCCTACAAGTGTGAGAAGTGTGGCAAGGCCTTCAGTCAGTTCTCAAGTCTTCAAGTGCATCAGAGAGTGCACACTGGAGAGAAACCATATCAGTGTGCTGAGTGTGGGAAGGGCTTCAGTGTGGGTTCCCAGCTTCAAGCCCATCAGAGGTGCCACACTGGAGAGAAACCATACCAATGTGAGGAGTGTGGGAAGGGCTTCTGTCGGGCCTCAAATTTTCTGGCTCATCGTGGTGTCCACACAGGAGAAAAACCATACCGATGCGATGTGTGTGGTAAGCGCTTTAGACAGAGATCCTACCTTCAAGCCCACCAGAGAGTTCACACAGGAGAGAGACCATACAAATGTGAGGAATGTGGGAAGGTCTTCAGTTGGAGCTCCTACCTTCAAGCCCACCAGAGAGTTCACACTGGAGAAAAACCATACAAGTGTGATGAGTGTGGGAAGGGCTTCAGTTGGAGCTCAAGTCTTATAATTCATCAGCGAGTTCATGCTGATGATGAGGGTGACAAGGACTTTCCTTCAGCAGAGGACTCACATAGGAAAGAAGCCCTATAAAGTGATATGTTTTAATGTCTTAAATGGGTGCTGAACTATTTTAATTATCATAGCTGTTAGAGGAGATAAAGCTTTTGTTTCATAAAAGTATCAGTATTTCAGCCAGAGTTTGACATGCCACAGTGGTCAGAAGACCACACAGCAGAGAGGCCTTGTGAGAGTGGAGACATGTATTTCATTCAGAACCCAGACCCTTAGCAGATACATGCAGACAAGAGGCTCAGGAAGGATGAGTCTGATCTGGAGTTAACAGAAGTACGAAGATGGGAATGCCAAATTCTATTCCACTAGAATATAAGCTCCAAGAGAGTAGGGACTTACTTTGTTGACTGCCAAATCTACTCTGCCTTTTCAGTGCCTAACATATTGTAAGTTTTCAGTAATGTTTGAAATTACTGTCATTTTTGAAATTCAGTCATATTTGAAAATTTTATTCAGTTTATCTCAAAGTTTTTATAAAATTATACTCGGAAGAGGAATTCAAGGATTGGAGTACATTTAAGTTATTCATACAAGCTAATTTTCCCAGTCCTGCAGGCCCTGTGGAACTAGTATTTATCAAAATGAAGGTTGCAACCCTTTAGTGGGTCCAGAAATCAGTTCTGTGGCTTGTGACCAGCACTTTTGTATGCAAACAGTACTTTACTGAGGTATACTTTGCATGCAGTAGCATGCATCAATCTTAAGTTTATGGCTTCATGAATTTTAACAAATGTATGGACTTGTGTAATCATCACCAAGATCAAAGTATACAATATTTTTTTTAAACCAGAAAGTTTCCTGTATCCATTTCCAGTCAACCCCACCTCCAGTGCCAAGTATTATGGTTTCTGTACCATAAATTAATTAGGTCTGTTCCTGAGCTTCATATGAATTCAGTATGTACTCTTTTGGTGTCTGGATTCTTATGATGAAATATGATCATCTCAGTGGATTCAGAGAAAGCATTTGACAAAATTCATCATTCACAATAAAAAATTTTTATGAATTCAGTATGTACTCTTTTGGTGTCTGGATTCTTATGATGAAATATGATCATCTCAGCGGATTCAGAGAAAGCATTTGACAAAATTCATCATTCACAATAAAAAATTTTTTTCCCATAAGATATGAGGCATCAATGAAAATCATACAAACTGACATTCTTTTTTTTAAATTGAGGAACAATTTGTATACAGCGAGACAGTCTTTTATATAGTATAGCATTATGAGTTTTGGCTTACTGTTATGTAACTACCACCACCACAATCAAGACATTTAACAGACCTAGCACTCCCTACCCTGAATTTCCCTTGCTCTGTATAGTCAGCCCCTCCTCCCCTCAACCACTGACCCATCTTCTGTCTGTATAGTTTACCTTTTCCAGCGGTGTCATATAAATGGAATCCTGCAGTATGTATCCATTTGAGGTTGGCTGCTTTCACTTAGCTTAATACTGCTGATCATCCGTTTTGTTGTGTCAGTATTCATTCCTTTTTATTACTGAGTAGTGTTCTGTTGTACAAATGTACCACAGATTGTTTATTCATTTACTGCTTGAAGGATATTTGGGTTTCCAGATTTTAGCAACTATGAAGAAAGTGGCTATAAATATTTGCATATAGTTTTATGTATCAACATAAATTTTCTTTTGTCTTAGTAAATACCTGGGAGTGGAATTGCTGGGTTGTATGGTAAGAGTATGTTTAACTATGAAAAACTGATAAACTTTCTTAAAATAACTACCATTTTGCATTCCCACAAGTGTATGAAAGTTCCAATTCCTTATCCTCACCAATACTTGGTATATTAAGGTTTTGTTTTGTTTTTATTTTGTTATTATTCAGAGGTTTATAGTGATATCTCATTTTGGTTTTAATTTACATTTCCCTGATGACTATTTGAGCATCTTTACATATATGCTCATTTGCTATCCATATACCTATTTCCTTTGGTAAACTGTGTTCAGATATTTTGACCACTTTTTAAAAAAAAACTGGATTGTTTGTTTTCTTACTCTTGATTTTTAAGAGTTCTTTATATGTTCTGGATACACATCTTTGTCAGTTATGTGTTTTGCAAATATTTTATCCCATATGTAGCTTGTGTTTTTATTCCATTGACAGTATTTTTTTATTTTTGAAGAAGTTCAGTTTTTGTCTTTGATGGATTGTGCTTTTGGTTTTGATATAAGAAACTGCCTTGGGCCGGCCCGGTGGCGCACTGCTACAGTGCGCCGCTTGGGAAGCGCTGTGGCGCTCCTGCCGAGGGTTCGGATCCCACATACAGACCAGCCGCTCACTGGCTGAGCGAGGTGCGGGAGCAACACCGAGGGTTGCGATCCCGTAGCCGGTCCCGGTCCGGTACGGGCGCAACACTGAGGGTTGCGATCCGTTGCTGGTCACAGAAAAAAAAAAAAAAGAAACTGCCTAATCTAAGGCCACATAGGTGTAGCCGGTCCCGGTCCGGTACGGGCGCAACACTGAGGGTTGCGATCCGTTGCTGGTCACGGAAAAAAAAAAAAAAAAAGAAACTGCCTAATCCAAGGCCACATAGATTTTTTTCTACTTTTTTATCAAAAATTTTATGGTTTCAGGTTTTGAGTTAATCCTTGTGTAAGGTTTGAGGTCATGGTCCATTTTTTTGCATATAACATTTAGTTGAGTGTCCTTTCAACATTGAATTGCAATTGCACCTTTGTGAAAAATCCATTGAGCATACGTGTGTGGGTCTTTTCTGGCCTCTCTTTGGTTCCGTTGATCTATGTGTCTATCATTTTGCCAAATACTGTACTGTCTTGGCTCTTGTAGCTGTATAAAATGTCTTGAAATCAGATAGTGTGCGTCTTCTAATATCATTCTTTTTCAAAAGTACTTGGGGGCCTGGCCAGTTAGCTCAGTTGGTGAGAATGTGGTGTTGGTAAAACTACAGTCAAGGGTTTGGATCCCCATACAGGCCTGCCACCAAAAAAAAAGGAAGTATTTTGGATATCCAGTTTGTTTGCCTTTCGATAACTTTTAGAATCAGCTTTGTGATTTGAAAAAAACAAATTGCTGGGATTTTTATTGGGATAGCATTGAATATAGAGTTGAGTTTGGGGACAGTTGCCCTCTTAGCATTTGTGAATGTTCTAAACCATAGACATAGTATTTTATGTATTTTGGTGCTAAATTAAATGGTATTATTTTTCAGATTTAAATTCTCAATTGTTCATTGCTAGTATATAGAAATACAATTGATTGTTTTATGTTGACCTTGTATTGTATCCTACAATTTTGCCAAACTAACTTACTAGTTCAAGTAGGTGTTCTGTAGATGCCTTGGGGTTTTCTGTGTAGGCAATTACGTCATCTGTGAAAAAGCTTATTTTCTCTCTGCCAGTCTATATGCCTGTTACAGCAACTGCACAGTGACATGGGTAAACTCCCTCCAGGGTTAGATTTGGATGCCAAAGCTCATGACAGTAGTCCTTTGGCATAGTCAAAAAAAGGTAGTGTTGCGGGGTGGGTGCGGGGATGGCTGTCTACAAAGAAGTCCAGAACAGAGAGAATAGGCAGTGTTCCAGGCATTTTATAGACAGGAAGTCCCACCAGCTTCAAGTTTAGAAGAGGTGGCGGGAAGGCACTTGGCAGGGGTGGGTGAATCTTATCAGGATTGTGGAGGAAGAAATGGACAGGGGCAGGAGATGAGGCTTACAGTTGCATGCACTAAGTCAAAGTCCAAGTTTCTTTCCTGTGATCTTCATAATTCACCCCTGATGTTTGGGTTAGCACAGAAACCTTCTAGATTTCCTGTAAATAAACTGTATTTGGGGTTTTGTTTGTTTTTGCAGCTGGCTGGTATAGGGATTTAACCCTGGGCCTAGATGTTATCAGCACCATGCTCTAACCAACTGAGGTAACTGGCCAGCCCCTAAACTTGTATTTGAAAGAGACCAAATTTGCAAGGTTGACTTAATATAATTTAGGCCAGCAACTTTAATAGCTCTCTGAAAGATAATATGTGGCCAGATAATCTAGGCAGAAGTGGGCAGCCAGGAGAAGAAATCAGTGGAGATTTAGGAAATCTCTTGCCATATTTTAGTAATTTAGTAATACAATTGACTATTTTGGTTTGTTGTTTTATCTGTTGAACTATTCTGGAGACTTTTCCTGTTTTATTGACCTACGTGCAGCCAGAGGTTTCCTTCATGGTTCCACCTTGAGATGCTAGTAGGTAGTCTAGTGCAATATGTTATCAGCTACCATAGCAGCTACAGAGCTTTATCTCTCATTAAGGCCTTGCAAATCTTGTGCTGTTTGGTATGTATGGTCTGCCAGGAATTGTGACATTGTTTGGCGCACAGGTCTAAGAGCTAGTCTGGGAAGGACATAAAACAGTGAATATGTGTGAGGACCATATAGTTTCAATAGCTATATATAATATCAATTGTTGGTGAGACCAGGAAGAGTGTAGGATTTATGAAGAGAAAGTTAATGAAAAAGGACCTAGTGAAATTGAGGGAGTACCTGGGGGAGTAAAGGAGCTGGAGGGTGACCAGAGGGGATGGTATTTAATATGGATATCAAATACCTCCAAGGGTACAGGATTTAGTTGTATGAGTGGTTACCCAGGTTGGGGGTGTCTGTTAGCAGACCTAGCATTGTTGGAGTTTTATCTCTTAGGTGACATGTTCTGTTACTGTTTCATATATCTGGTAAGTTGAAGAAGTAGGAAGTGTTGTGGTGGGATGGAATAGTGGAGAGCGAAGCATGGGTTGTTGGACAAGGCGATTGGAACTAATGCAGTTGTGGAGGTCATGGGGAGTGTAGGGGCAGTTATCACGTCCAGGTCCCAACTGTCAAGCATGGAAGGAGATGGAGTTTTGGGCCTTTGTGAACAGATAATTTCACCCAAAGGACGAAATTAAGTGGTGGGGCACCAGTAGGTGTTAGCTGACTAATTTGCAGGGCACTAGCTTATACCTAAAGGGCAACACGTGAAGAGGGAATAGAATGGGACAAGAACAATTCTAAATAATCTACTGGTGTTCCTTGATGTAGTAGAGTAGGTAGTGGGCAATGGTTAGGTCCCTGTGTACTGTCATTCATCAGGGTTGTGTATATTTAGGTAAGTAAGGGCCTGATGATAAGCTTTAGCTTCTTGCAGAATGTGATTATATTGTGTGGGAGAGAACAATATGGAGTTGCAGAGACTTTAAGCAGGGAGGGTGGGAGCTCCAGTTAAGCAGTCTACCATAATCATATTAGCATTGACTAGGCAGGGAACAGAGCATAAGCATAGATTGAAACTTGAAGGATAAGGTGACTGAGAAGAAAGGGCAGTTGGGGAAGTTATAGGAGATACTGGAGGTGATACAGGTGGGGTAGAAAAGCTAAGTTTGGGCTTAGAGCAGAGAGGACGTTAGAATCTTTATTTGACTGTTTTGGCATGAAATTGTGGCAATAAGATATCTTGGGATGTTGGTGACAAGGCTGGAACTGTCAGTTGTGCTGAAGTCATCATTTGGGATACTTTGGTCTGCTGGGCTAAGATCTTCATCCCTGAACTGATGGTTGTTGTCTGTGCTGTCATTTGTGATTGACTCATGGATTGTACCTGTAAGGATCTTCAAATAGAAGAGAATGGAGACCTGCTATGAGACCTGGGCTAACCCAAAGATCTCAAAGTTCTACATTTGAGAAATTATTGCAAGAGTGACTGATGATCAAGGGATGCTCTGGGGCACATTTGGCTATATGTTGGGTGGCCAATATGCATCCTATGTAGCCCTAAGAGGACTGCACATGCAGGTCCACATTTTGTCATTTATTCTTTTGCC